GCATGGAGTAAACCAGCTTCTGGCACCTGTGAACAGGTATTCCAGCCCAGGATGATTGGACTACATTCCACCGTTCTTCTCTATTTCTTGGTTTTGCCTCAGAAACTGCATTTTTGATGTCACCCCACAAGTTTTCTATTGGATTAAGATCCGGGGATTGGGCTGGCCACTCCATAACGTCAATCTTGTTGGTCTGGAACCAAGATGTTGCACGTTTACTGGTGTGTTTGGGGTCGCTGTCTTGTTGGAACACCCATTTTCAAGGGCATTTCCTCTTCAGCATAAGGCAGCATGACCTCTTCAAGTATTCTGATGTATTCAAACTGATCCATGATCCCTGGTATGCGATAAATAGGCCCAACACCATAGTATGAGAAACATCCCCATATCATGATGCTTGCGCAACCATGCTTCACTGTCTTCACAGTGAACTGTGGCTTGAATTCAGTGTTTGGGGGGGGTCATCTGACAAACTGTCTCCGGCCACTAGAACCAAAAAGACAATCTTACTTTTATCAGTCCACAAAATGTTGCACCCTTTCTCTTTAGGCCAGTCAATGTGCTCTTTGGCAAATTGTAACCTCTTCAGCACATGTTTTTTTTTCAACAGTGGGACTTTACGGGGGCTTCTTGCAGATAGCTTGGCTTCACATAGGCGTCTTCTAATTTTAACAGTACTCACAGGTAACTTTAGACCATCTGTGATCTTCCTGGAGCTGATTGTTGGCTGAGTCCTTGCCATTTTGGCTATTCTTCTATCCATTCGAATGGTAGTTTTTCGCTTTCTTCAACGTCTTTCAGGTTTTGGTTGCCATTTGAAAGCATTTGCGATCATTTTAGCTGAGCAGCCTATCATTTTCTGCACTTCTTTATATGTTTTCCCCTCTCCAATCAACTTTTTAATCAAGGTACGCTGTTCTTCTGAACAATGTCTGGAACGACCCATTTTCCTCAGAATTTCAGAGAGAAATGCAGTGTAACCAGCATGTACAACATTTGCTGCCTTCCTTCCTTAAATAAGGGCAATAATTGCCACCTGTTTTTCAAAGAATGAATGACCTCACTAATAGAACTCCACGCTGCTATTATTTTGAACATGCCCCTTTCAATTAGTGATTCAATTACACAGAATCAGCAGCATGCATGTCATGACTGTTGGGTCTGTTGGATTTCTATTACTCTACTACACCTCCTAGTAAATTATTTGCCATGTAGAAATATAATTTCTACCAAAAACAGTGATTGATCAGGTTAGTGATGTCTGACTGCTATTATTTTGAACACAACTGTATATATACACACACACATACAGTATAGCTGTTCAATGTGAATTGTTTTTGCATATTTGCGTCATGTACATTTTAAGAGGTAATATTTAGACTTCCAAAAATATATACATGAGGTAAATGGTCAAATGGTACTGCATACCTTAAATTGATCTTAAAAAGCTCTCATCCATGGTGCTCTGCACAAGTTGACCCATAAATTCTTATGGGATCCTTTCTCGAGAAGATCTAAGGGTCAGCAGACTGGGAATTGATAGAAGAGCCAGGGCCCTTTAATTAATTACTAAGACCTGCTAGTGTATTCAATTGTAATTACACTCAACAAGGAGGTGGCCCCAGGTCTTCAGCATTTTTCATTGTAGCTGAGATTAGTTTTAAAAGTAATCTCAACCAGCATGTTTGTGCATTTATATGGTACATATACTGCTCAGTGAATTGTGTCATCCTGTCATGGCTATGCTATCCTACATTTTATTGATTCCTAAAACACCAAACTATTTGTATTAATTCATTTTAAAGTGACACTAAACTCTGGTTTAAAAAAAATAAATCTGTTCAAGCATGTGTTCTTAAAGCTTGAGGTGATTGTAGCCGTATTAGTGCATTTGCGACAGGAACAATTGAGTACTGTCCGTGATACTTTTTTTATTTGCACTAACATACAATTTTGAGGACAAGCTTTCGGGGAATGTCCCCTTCTTCAGGTCTAAGCAGTACTGCTTAGACCTGAAGAAGGGGACATTCCCCAAAAGCTTGTCCTCAAAATTGTATGTTAGTCCAAATAAAAAAAGTATCACGGACAGTACTCAATTGTTCCTGTTCTTAAAGCTGAACTCCAGATTTTAGTGAACTTTAAAGAGCTGTCTTTTATATCAAAGTATTTATTTTTACTAACAGATGCAGTAGCTGTGTATGGTGTATATAAACTTCCCAACCCACTTCTGGAACAAAATCAATTTGGACTGAGCCCTCTGCTCTATGGTCATCAGTCGAGCAAGCCACGCATTATACAGTGATTATCGAAAGTTTGGGCACCCCAGCTAAAAATTTGTATTAATGTGCATAAAGAAGCCAAGGAAAGATGGAAAAATCTCCAAAAGGCATCAAATTACAGATTAGACATTCTTAGAATATGTCAACAAAAGTTAGATTTTATTTCCATCATTTACACTTTCAAAATAACAGAAAACAAAAAAAATGGCGTCTGCAAAAGTTTGGGCACCCTGCAGAATATATAGCATGCACTGCCCCCTTTGTCAAGCTGAGACCTGCCAGTGTCATGGATTGTTCTCAATCATCGTCTGGGAAGACCAGGTGATGTCAATCTCAAAGGTTTTAAATGCCCAGACTCATCTGACCTTGCCCCAACAATCAGCACCATGGGTTCTTCTAAGCAGTTGTCTAGAAAACTGAAACTGAAAATAGTTGACGCTCACAAAGCTGGAGAAGGCTATAAGAAGATAGCAAAGCGTTTTCAGATGTCAATATCCTCTGTTCGGAATGTAATTAAGAAATGGCAGTCATCAGGACCAGTGAAAGTTAAAGCAAGATCTGGAAGACCAAGAAAAATATCAGACAGGACAGCTCGCAGGATTGTGAGAAAAACAATTCAAAACCCATGTTTGACTGCACGATCCCTCCAGAAAGATCTGGCAGACACTGGAGTTGTGGTACACTATTCCACTATAAAGAGATACTTGTACAAATATGGTCTTCATTGAAGAGTCATCAGAACAAAACCTCTTCTACGTCCTCACCACAAAAATCATCGTTTGAACTTTGCAAATGAACATATAGACAAGCCTGATGCATTTTGGAAACAAGTTCTGTGGACCGATGAGGTTAAAATTGAACTTTTTGGCTGGAATGAGCAAAGGTACATTTGGAGAAGAAGGGGCACAGAATTTAACGAAAAGAACCTCTGTCCAACTGTTAAGCATGGGGTTGGATCAATCATGCTTTGGGGTTGTGTTGCAGCCAGTGGCACAGGGAACATCTCACGAGTAGAAGGAAAAATGGATTTAATAAAATTTCAGCAAATTTTGGATGGTAACTTGATGCCATCTGTGAAAAAGCTGAAGTTAAAGAGAGGATGGCTTCTACAAATGGATAATGATCCTAAACACACCTCGAAATCCACGGGGGATTACATAAAGAGGCGTAAACTTAAGGTTTTGCCATGGCCTTCACAATCTCCTGACCTCAACATCATTGAAAATCTATGGATAGACCTTAAAAGAGCAGCGCGTGACAGACAGCCCAGAAATCTCAAAGAACTGGAAGACTTTTGTAAGGAAGAATGGGCAAAGATACCTCAAACAAGAATTGAAAGACTCTTGGCTGGCTACAAAAAGCGTTTACAAGCTGTGATACTTGCCAAAGGGGGCAGTGCATGCTATAAATTCTGCAGGGTGTCCAAACTTTTGCAGACGCCATTTTTTTGTTTTCTGTTATTTTGAAAGTGTAAATGATGGAAATAAAATCTAACTTTTGTTGACATATTCTAAGAATGTCTAATCTGTAATTTGATGCCTTTTGGAGATTTTTCCATCTTTCCTTGGCTTCTTTATGCACATTAATACAAATTTTTAGCTGGGGTGCCCAAACTTTCGATCCCCACTGTATATGCTATACCTGCATTGATAATTTGCAGTGGGATGCCTGTATCCTAACATAAAACTGCAGTGTTTTCAGGTGCTAGTATTTTCGTTAAGCAATTTACTGAAATAACTGAACGAAGATTGTATAGATTAGGTCCTAACTTTGTTTTTCTCATTTTGGTTGGAAAAACAGAATGCCTAATTCCCTAAAAGATTTTTTGCTATCTTTGTCTCATTGGGGAGATTCTTCTTCACATCCTGTCCTGTAGACACAAAAGGAAGTAAGAGGAAAGGTCTCCAAAGTGAGGGAAATCCCCACTCAGACAGTTGTCATTGTACCAAATATAGAGGGTAATTCTGCCTAATAATGACCCAGCAATAAAAACCTAACAGAGGTTCAAATCCTTCCACGGTCTATCCAAAAAATGTTGGTTTTAGATATACCTTTTGAAGCATTATTATGAATATTTGGCAAAAAGTATATTTCTGCATTATTATAACCTTGCTATTAGAAATGACTAATACTGTATATAGAAAGTATGTACCTAAAACATAGGTGAACCCAATATTTTATGTGTATACATTTCAATAATATTCAATACATTTCTTTAAAATAAGTGTATTTTCAGAACTACTAAGCAACCAAGCTTGATGGTGATATCATCATGATCCTATCTACCTAAACATCAACACTATGGTGACCTGAGAGTATACGTCCTATGTGTAATACCTGTAACACATAAAATCTGTTGACATGAAAGACATCTGTAAAAATTTGGTGCTCTGTATCAAGAATTTTATCTGTTGCACAGCTGTTTATTTCTTATCTGCTTTTAACGTATGCATGGTGAGACCATGTTCTGTGCGATCAGCATATAATCATATGTAGACATAGAAAATAAGTTATGAACAAGGCAATGATATAAAAACAGCATAGTCAGGTATATGATTCACTTATCAGTTTAAAGGAGATACAATACTATGACAAAGCACAAATGAAATGTAGGCGTGACCAACAAAGCACCCTATAAATAAAATGGGGACAAATTTATCCCTACCATCTACTTCTTAAATCAGAAGCAGGAGCTACTCACATCTGACTCAATCCACCATCATGGTTCAGTGGACTGCTGAAGAGAAGTCTGCCATCCAGTCTGTGTGGCAGAAGAAGGTCGATGTTGAACAGGATGGACATGAAGCACTTAGCAGGTATAACAATTTCACTTGGTGTTGCTACTTTTTCATTATTTCTCTACTATGTTGTCACCTTCTAACCCAAATCATTTAACAGTCTTGCATTTCCAAGGCTTCAAATTGCAACATGCAGTTTAACTTATATAAAATATTTTTGACACTATATTGAATCAGATTTGGGTTTGCATAACAAGGCACTACGTAAAGTCAAATCAAATAGTTTTCCCTAATTATTGCATATTTTACACCTTTTATTGTTTTTTTCCAGTCATTGTGACAGTGAATTAGAAGAATAGAAAGTGATGGGAAAGTATAGATATGGATGGTGTGGAGAGGAATAATTTATTTACTTCTGTCTGTGTCCCAGGTAGGTGTAACCACCTTACATTTGTTCTGGTCACCGTTGTCACCTAGAGTGAAAACGAGAGAAAACCCCAAATCATGAGTTGCCACCAGAACAGGAGTGGAAAGGAATTCTTCTAATGGCAATGCAAATTCTGGTGACAACAGTCTAAGAGGGGATTTTCACCATTAGAGAGAAATTTCCTCTCACTTCCTGTTGCGGCTATGGGACAAGAAGTGAAAGGAAATCTCTCCAACTACTCTGGCTTATTATGGTAACCTATGCAATTATTTTAATCAAAATAATACTTTGCCAGAATTTTACCAAAAAGATACAGGTCATGTATTTATCTTTACTGATGTTTCTTTCTGAAAACATGATAAATACTTCTAATTTTATCTATTTTTCTTTCTTAAACTGATATTTAAAGGCAATTGAAATTAGAAGCCAGGAGAGAGTCTTAATTGTGCTTTTGAGGGAGAGCAGTGCTGGAGATAAATAGATAAACATGAGAAGATATAGGTCAGGAAGAGGACATGGATGGGGGAAAAGGAGATGGGGGAAGGGGTGTGAAAAGGGGATGGGGGGAAGGGTGTAGGTGTGGGGGGGGAGGGGGTATAAGGGGGTATTATGGAATGTGTATATGTGAATTATTTTTATAAATATGTTGTTCTTTTTATACTGGAAAATCAAATAAAAGTTAAATTTAAAAAAGAAGCAATAAAAAAAAAAACAGCACGTTATATTTACCTGTTCTGTGCAGTGGTTTTGCACAGAGCAGCCCCAATCATCCTCCTCTCAGGTCCGCTGCTGGTGCTCCCAACCCCTTCCTCCTGCCAAGTGTCCCCAGAGCAAGTAGCTGGTGGCACCCAAGCAGGCTCACTCCTGAGCTGCTGCTCTGCATGTCCATTCATACACATAGCTGTGGCATGGCCCCCTTCCCCCCTCTTTCCTCATTGGCTCACTGGCTGTGATTGACAGCAGTGGGAGCCAATGGCTCCCACTGCTGTCTCAGCCAATGAGGAGGGAGAGTCCCTGGAGAGCTGAGGCTCTCTCATGCACATCACTGGATCTTGATGGGGCTCAGGTAAGTATTTGGGGGGGAGCTAGGAGGGCTGCTGTACACAAAAGGTTTTTTACCTTCATATATAGAATGCATGAAGGTAAAAAACCCTGAGTCTTTACAACCACTTTAAGATGTGACTTCCTGCAATATACATACTGTAATAAATATTTGTTTTTGAAAGTAACATATATCTTTACACAGTGTAATAACATAATATTTATTTGTTATTCGTATCATTGCACACATACAAGAAAGTAATAACTGGTACAAGGCCACAGGTACATACTAGTTAGTCATACATGTCATACAGGTACTGCATCATACCCATGAAGTTGTATTTATTTATTGCTGATGTATATATGTTTGAAGGTTCCTGGTGGAATCTATTATTTAAACATGTTTTCTTCTATTTTTCCTAGGCTGTTTCAAGTCTACCCCTGGACCCAGAGGTATTTCAGCTCCTTTGGAGATCTCTCTAACCCAACTGCAATTGCTGGTAATCCTAAGGTGCACGCACATGGCAAGAAGGTTCTAGGAGCTGTTGGCAATGCCGTCCAACACCTGGACAACGTGAAGGGTGCTCTGCAAAAGCTCAGTATAGAACATGCCAACGAGCTGCATGTGGATCCTGTGAACTTTAGGGTATTGATCTTAATATTTTAATTAACACTGGGCTTAATTGTCATCTTTGTAATGATATTTAAAGGGTAACTAAATCCAAACTTTGTTCATTTCGAAGAGTAGGGAATAGCTAAAAACCAAGGCTTTTTTTTTTTTGCTGTTTGTGTCTCATGGAGGAGATTTACACATGCTTCCTGTCTTAGAGACAAAAAAGGAAATATGCACACACAGCAATATAAAAGAATTATAGGGGTACTAACACTTTCACACTCCATCTAAAGTTAAAATAATAGTAGTAGTCAATAGTAGTCCACATCTTTGCTTTGGGGGTAACTAAAAAACTGTTATATATTACTATTTTTCTAATTAAATAATATGATAAAGTAATGATTTGCATAAATACTAACAAAATGTTTTTCTTTTTTGTGTAGCGTCTTGGAGAAGTATTGGTTGTTGTCCTGGCTGCCAAACTGGGAAATGCCTTTACTCCTCAAATCCAGCATGCATGGGAGAAGTTCACTGCTGTCCTGGTTGATGGTCTTAGCCACAGCTATCACTAAACTACAACATGAACACAAAACAACATAGTTTTCACTGAGACTGTGTATTAATGTTTGTACCATCTGCAGCACATTTAATAAAAAAAAAAAGCTTGAAAAAGTTCCCTCCTGTATGGTCATAGTTATTTGTAAATGCTGTATTAACAATGTTACCTGTAAATGAAAATAGAATTGTTTGGTGTATTTCCTAGTTAGGTTAACTGATTTTACAGGACAAAGATAAAGAGTTTGGATTGAATTTTCAAAAATGCTATAGTGATATTAAAAGGTTCAGATTTTTTTTCTTTTACATAACAAACATGTAATACTTACTTAGAAGAGGGTGCCTCCATCTACGTGTAGTGATTAATTAATACGTACCTGCTCTGTGCAATGGTTTTACACAGCGCAGCCCTTATTCTCCTCTTTTCTGGTACCCCTCAGGTGCTCCTGGCTCCTCCCCCCTTCTGAGTGCCCCCAGAGCAATCTGCTTGTGCTCTATGAGACACACAGAGCATGGCTCAGCCCTGCCTCCATTCCCTCTTCACTTGCTGTGAATGACAGCAACAGGAGCCAATGGCTCTCGCTGCTGTGACTCAGCCAATGAGGAGGGAGAGACCTGGGTGAGCTGCTGCTTGTGTAATTATTAGGGGGGGCCGAGGGGGCAGCTGCACACTTAAGGATTGTTAACTTCATGCCTCGAATGCACGAAGGTGAAAAACCTTCAGTCTCTACAACCACTCTGCCAAGTGAGGACTGAAATAATTGCTCCTAGGGGCAAACACAGTCAACTAGCCCTTTCATGTACCATGCAATGTGTTGCCATGCTGTCACATTGATTGAATAAAAGTAAAGCGAGCACTCAAAAATCAGCTGCTGAAACATTCCAAGGAATCACTGGACCTCATAACAAGAATATTAAATATATAGTGCAGCGCTGTAATGTAATTAAATAGATAAAAAATAATAAAAGTGCAATAGTTCGTAAAGTCCTTTCACAATAAAATAATCAAACATGTGAAGGCCTCCTCCTCATTAGGTGACTGGAATCAAACAGAAAAAATGCGCACTCACCGACCGCGCATTTTAAATGCGCATGTGTATAATTTTATCCAGATGACCAGCCAGGCATGCAGATCCAGAGAACACATAGATCATCCCTCTTAAACACTGACATCAGCCTTGGGTGCAGTAATATACCTCCAGGTCCAGAGAGCCCTCTTGCCCCAAATGATAGGTAGACAGGGGTTCCCCTCCTGGTTCCAGGTACCCCAGAAGTGGTAGATGTAGATCTGAAACCCTCCAGCAAGAGGGTCAAAAGAAAAAAGGGAACGCCAATAGTGTAGTAGGTTCAAAACTTTATTGGATCAACAGTAGTTAAGCCAGGGTCACATGTGCATACAAATGTGGAGTGTTTCTTGGGTGCCACCTCTCCCCCTCCCTTTATTCTTGCATTGCCATCTGGTGTTGTTTGAGCTTCTGCTGGGTTGTGAGATCATGGGTTGAAATTTTTGGTGGTGCTTTGTGCAGGCCCAGGCATCTCTGACTGTGTGCCTGTGCACCTTTGGCACCCAGCGACATCATGGGCAGCTGCCACTGCCGGGTGTACATGATTGCTGGCACTCATGGCACTTGCCAGGTCCTGCCCCCTGGTTCCTTTTGAAAGCTGTTTGTGGCATGGGGATGGTTCTTCTGGTGGCCATTTTCACTGGGGGGGGGGGGGGGGTATATAAGAATGGACATGTTCAGCCACAGACTCTACTTTATAGTTTACTGTGGTGATCCATGCTTATAACATTTCACCAGTCTTAAACATAATCGTTATTGACACTTTGGAAACATTTACCAATCTGGTAATTACTTGACTATGTCAAAGTGGTAATTAATCAGTGATTGACTAGGCATGATCATACAGAAGGGTCATTGCATCACTATATTAAATTGTTTTGATATTTTTGTACGAATAAAGAAAGCCATACTTTTAATTAACATTATTTTTGTGTGAATGTAGTTCCTAAAAAAATCCCTATTTCCTTTCCACAAAAGTCATGTTATTCTTATACATGGACGAGGCACTTATAATTGAGCCAACATACCTGCGTAGTGATCCAGTCTGAACATGATTCTTCCCTCCAAAATACCAACTGTAAATTGTGTGCTTCCATTTAAAGATGTAATTTAAGATTATGGCTTCATGCCATGGTGTCAGGAGTCACCAGGAAAATTATATTCCCACAAAAGTTGTTCTGTACATAAATGCTAGGTTTCCCCAAATACTATCCTTTGTGAAGACTGGCACTGTCCATAGTTTCCCACACTTTGTCTGGGAAACACTGTGTTATGAGTAGAAATAGAACGTTACACTGCTTTTTGTAACATATGTGCTAACCAATGAAGATAACAGAGCAGTCGGCAAAATTAATACAAAATTTAAAAAAAACACAAATGTAGTTTACTCTTCTGTTGGCGTATATGCTACAACAGATACATCTGCCCATATGCATGTATGAAATCCATATTTAAAAATATGAGCATAGGTATTTAATTATAATGACTGTTATTGGAAATTGGATTATTCACTCCTAATTTGATGACGAGAAGTGAGAAACTAAAATGAGTATTAACCAATTACACAGGTCTGCGACTAAAAAGCTGTTTGATTATTTTTCATCTAATTTCCATGTATTTTGGTGTACTGAAAACAAAAAAAAATATTGAAAAAACTCCTAGATGTCATGATTTGTCACAAAATGCAAAATTGTCTTCAAATTTATCAAATTTTTTAAAATTTTTGGTATTTTTTTTATATTATGGGTACTATTAATTAATTCACATAAGTGCATTTAAGATATAAAATGCCAAAAAAAACCTTAAAGGGGTTGTCCGAGTTATGTAAAAAAAAAAATATAGCACTGTAAATCTGATGGTCAGCAATATATACACAAGCTAAGCAAGTTTTAGGAAAAAAAAATTCTATTTCCTCATTTCCCTAGTTCTCTTCTGGCCCTTTGTTGTTATTTTCAGGTAAACAATCTCTGCCCCTCCCCCCCTGCAAAGGGGGTGAAATACAAGTGCTGCTCTGAGTGACATGTCTGACTACTGGCATACTCAGCAGCATGCTGTATGTGTAAGCCTCAGCCCTGAGTCTGTGCTTCTAATGGTAGAAGAGGTTAATCTTTCCTGAAGAATCCAGTGGGTGGGATACCAAATACCCTTGTTTTCTGTGTCTATGGGACAGTCGAGACCAACAAAATCACTAGACCAAGAAGAGTTGGCATCCGAGGGTGCTAACAGTCGGTGAAAAAAAAAGTCCTCATAGAACATTTGGTACCTTCCCATAAAGTTCTTCTACCACCTCTCCACATAAATTGGGATTAATGAAGCAATTCGTAAAATCACTTCCAAGAGATGGAGAATGCTTCAAATACTTGGTCACCAAGTTTCCAGGCCTGTCGGAGGCAAAATTGAAGGAAGGTGTGTTCGTCGGACCAGACATTAGAAGGCTTATAGTTGATCAAGAGTTTGTCAATACCATGACGGATCCTCAAAAAGAAGGGTGGATTGCATTTAAAGAAGTCGTACAGAAATTTTTAGGCAATAACAAAGATCCTCACTACAAAAAGATCGTCGGATGAATGCTGAAAGTATTTCAAGCTTTAGGTTGTCTGATGAGTTTGAAAGTACATTTCCTCCAGTCCCCCCTTGACTACTTTCCTGAAAATTTGGGAGCTGTGAGTGAAGAACAAGGTGAACGATTCCACCAAGACATTAAAGAGATGGAAAGGAAATACCAGGGAAAATGGAGCATTACAATGATGGCAGACTACTGTTGGATGCTTCAGAGAGACATTCCAGATGCTACTCACAAGCGTAAATGCTCCAAGAGGAGCCTCACAGAGAAGAAGAATCGAATTTAGTGTGTGTAGAAGAGCTCATTTCAGTTCAAAAAAGGATTTTCATAAAAAAAAATTGTAATAAAACTTTAATTTTATAAGTCTATTTCCATTTATTTTGAGGTATTGCCTTATTTAACATAGTTACCTAAATTGTCAGGAAACGTGATGTCCTATGACAAAATGAAGGTCATTTTCGGATTCAGCACACCAAAAAACATAAAGCTTACGTGGAATAACCAAGACAGCTCTTGAAGAAAATTTTTTTGCAGACCTGTTTATTTTTCATTATGTTCAGCTCAGTGCTTTAGTTTTATTACTGTATTTTCAGATAATGGTAACATTCATTTACTAGTCATCCTACAAATTAGTTTACAGACATTGTAACGCCCCTTGTAACCAACCTGCATAATGACTAAAATACAAATTTGAACCTATATTCTTTGATGTGCAATGAATACATTGTTGCATGTCTCCATTTCAAGGCAGGGATAGGCAATCTTTTGAGCACGGTGTGCTGAAAAAATTTTTTTCAATGAAACTGAGAGTGCTAGCTACAGTTGTGTTCAAAATAATAGCAGTCAGACATCACTAACCTGATCAATCACGGTTTTTGGTAGAAATGATATTTCTACATGGCAAATAATTTACTAGCAGGTGTAGTAGACTAATAGAAATCCAACAGACCCAACAGTCATGACATGCATGCTGCTGATTCTGTGTAATTGAATCTATTAGTGAGGTCATTCATTCTTTGAAAAACAGGTGGCAATTATTGCCCTTATTTAAGGAAGGAAGGCAGCAAATGTTCTACATGCTGGTTACAGTGCATTTCTCTCTGAAATTCTGAGGAAAATGGGTCATTCCAGACATTGTTCAGAAGAACAGCGTACCTTGATTAAAAAGTTGATTGGAGAGGGGAAAACATATAAAGAAGTGCAGAAAATGATAGGCTGCTCAGCTAAAATGATCGCAAATGCTTTCAAATGGCAACCAAAACCTGAAAGACGTTGAAGAAAGCGAAAAACTACCATTCGAATGGATAGAAGAATAGCCAAAATGGCAAAGACTCAGCAGCGGTACTGCGCATGCACCTGTGTTCGACTACACTGACCAACCACTTCTCCG